ATATTCTGAAAGCGCGTGAAATTCTCTATTAGCCTATATATTTATGTCTTATCTTGCATTTCTTTGCTGCAGTGAATAAATGCAAAAAAAGACATAAATATTTAGGATGATAGAGAATTTCATGCGCTTTCAGAATATATACTTACTTTTGTAATAACTTGTTCCTATATTAAAAATATATTTGAAAAATAAAGGAAAATAAACAAAAAAACATTTTTCCAGGCAATATGAAGATGAGGGTGCCTTTACTGGGCTTGAATTTATTTTTAGCAAACAAGTGAAATTCAAAACGTACATATATAGATTTGTAGAGAATTTCACGGGCTATCTGAATATATAATTACGTTACTCAAAATGTTAATTTATAATGATGATATATCAAGAATATCGTGTGACACTATTTTTTTCCAGTGGGATATATTAGTTTTGTGCTATAATTAACTAGTCGTCAAACATCGACACTATTTATTAACTGTATATTTAATCTGTCTCCTATGCTATATTTGCTTTGCTATCTTTTATGTCTATGGAAAATATGAATAGTAGAATAAAGAAAAAGAATCTATGAAAAACTACAATGTTCAACAATTATTCGATTTTGATTTTCATAACATGACGGCATAGCAAAGTCAGTTAAAAAAATATAATAAGGGTATTATGACGAATTGTGACTTCATATAATGATCTAATGCATATTTCTTCCGCGATGTAGTCTTTGAAATCTGTAAAAAGCTCTTGATTTAAAAAAAAAAACAGTTTTATATTCAGTTTTTCGAAAAAAAAACTATGCGAAAACTAAATGATCGATAAAAAATTCTCTACTGAATTAGTCATTTACCGTTACCGATTACAACTCGAACCCATACGCACACTGTCAGGTGTGATGATGCACGTATATGACAATTTGAGCGTAGATGCATATCTTTTTGTCACCTATACTCACATACTCAACATCTGACTAATGGTGTCACTTAAGTAATGACAGGAAATTCTGTGGATATTTTTTTCAGCGGTTAGTTACACTAAAACGAATGGAAGAAGTCGTTTTTAGGTAGGCGAAATAGAAAATTGGATTTCACTAATGAATGCAATTTTATCAGTTATTTTGAACTGTTTTCAATTAGCAAAAATTTTATTTGTGCGCAATACTACCAACACACTAGATTTTTCTTTTGACAGTTATTTTACACTCTGTCCGTAATGAGCTTTTTATTTAGAAAAAATACATGAAAATAGACTCTGTTGCGCATCTCAAATGCAACAATTCAAGTTATTTAGTACGACTGAAAAGTAATTTTTGCTGATAGTATGATCTTGAACTAGCCCAGCTTATAAGTAAAAAGTTATATATTTATTTGGGTTTTTAAAAATAATAATATTAAGATTATCTTTAAAGTACACATGTTAACCAGTGCCATATACAGCAGAACAATACACCATAGCTGAGACAACCACAATAGCCTCTAGTATTAGGAGCGCTGTTACGACGAATGCAGAGGCTGTTTTACGCATACGATCTTGTAGTATTTTAACTCGAAAAGGCACCATATCATAAAAGCATTCATCTTGTGTACAGTATGGATCAGATAAATGAGCTTGTTGATTGTATTCTCTAAGCTCACTTTCATTGAAATCTACTTTTATCCAATCCAGTTATTGTTCTATCTTTCCATTTGAAACATCATTTTCACAAAAGTTGACCATTGATGGCTTGTTCTCGGCGATATGAGAAGTCATCATGTATATATACGATCTTCAAAGATGATATGATTACGATCGGCATTGTCAGATATGTATGAATGTGAGTAACTGAACTTGCGATTTGTAGCAATGCAACGAAAAAAAGACTAGTAGAGACAGTAAAATTTATCTGATGAATATGCATTCGTTTTTTTTGTGCATTTATTTAAGAGCAGAACAGATAAATATTAGTAATACAGGTATTTATTATTTACACGACCGAAATAGGTTTCTGTTGTAATGATCTTGGAGCACATGCAGACATATATCTGATAAAAATGAAAATATAAAAAATAACAAATATACGTAGTATAGCAACGAGGAATGTTGTTTATAATTACTTCAGATGATAAGTATGACAAATAAAAACTCATGGAAAAGAAAATAAATATTCCAACGAAGAATTTTAAGCTAGTACTATTACAATTCTATAATGCTATCTATTTACCATAAAAAAAATCAGCTCTCTCTTCCATTTGCGATTCAAACAGTCGGATTCGAAAGTAGATTGATGAAAATATCGATTTCATCTGGAGACTTTAGAACTGTCGATGAGAAATTGAGTTCTTGGAATACTTCCCCTTCTCTCTTACAAAGTAAAATATCATGTCCTTATATAACGTCTTGTCACATAGCAACGTTTTTGTGACCTTCTATTGAAGATCAGTTTTTTTGGTGAATCATCATTAAAAAACTTCAGTATTCTATTAATGAATCAATATTTTGAATTGATGTTCTTAAGATATTTTTTTACTGAAAAAAGCTATTTTATAAGAAATGCACTTTTAATGACAATGCAGGAATAGGCTTTGCAAGAAAACTCTAAGACAACAAGGATTGTTTAAAACTATTAATTAATTTTTTTCCAAAAACTCAAGATTTTAGAAGCACCTTAATTAATAAGTGTATAAATTTCTCCTACGACGTTTGAACTTTTTTTCAGGTATGACCTCATATAGAGTGAATACGTGACTTGTTATGGATGTAGAAAAGATTCACATTCATATACAAAAGAGAGATAACGTCGTTATCAATACTGTTTGATTCAGCATTACTTCGCTTGCCTATTGACTACACGCATCTTGTCAAGATGGAAAAGCTAATTGTCTACTGTCAATAATGTGCGCTCACCGTCGACTGCTTATCAGAATTTTTTCGCCCAAATGAAAGCAACTATTCAAGTATAGCCTATAAAAATACAATACCTTCTGCTAAAAATGAATGAAAAGAGAATATGTACATTAAACAACTATTGTTTAACGCTGAAGATGAATCATACGATGGAACAAGCACCGTTTACCTGCCTCTAAGAGATACTAGAGAACTCGGAGTTTTAATTGTGATCTTTTCGCAAAATAATGCGAGAAAAAAATCGGGAAACCAGGACGTGGAAGCCATGTATAGAAGTTTTAGCAAGCTCTGTACAAATCAAATGGAAGTGGTGTAGCCAAAGTCGATAAATAAAATGTAGTACTTTAGTATTTACGAAAAGATCATAAAGTAGATATCGGTGATTTACTATTCTGTATGATTACTGTGACACTCTATAGGGCTTGCAATAGAAAGATAACGAGAAAATAAGATGAATACCAAACATCTTTATGAAATGTTACAGCTTGACAGAGAGAACTTGACTGCTTGAGTACCAACTTGATCACGTGATAGTGTTGAGATGTAGAGATTAGGAAATAAGAAAGAGAGAGAACGACAAAAATGAGATGGTAGCATTACCAACAATGAGGAGTGGTAATTGTAATGCAGAAGAGACTCTGTCGTATGTTAAGTTAATCTACTATAGTAAAAGGACTTCATACCTTTCTATTGATCTTCTCATTCTACGATGCTTAAAGAAGTATTCGAGGCTATCTTTCATATTTGTCTAAAATCCATCCCAGAATAATACATCTTCCAGGAAAAGAAATCATTCGAAATCTAACATATACAATATTTGCGAGACTTTTCTTAACATAACTCTATACAGTGACCTCGAAGGGGTTCTTCTCAGTCCTATGAAAAACAAACAGCCGGCAATACAAAGAGGTAACAATATATTAGTTCTAGAGTAGTGCGAACTGTCAGATTTAGCACTTCATGTTGAGTTTTAGGATAGGGAGGATAAAAGAAGAAAAATTTATGCAAAGTGACTAACGAGTATGTAATGAAATATTGACAAATCATGGCACTTGATAAATTTCTGTTTCAACAGTCACTAAACTGCTATGATCACGTTAAAACACGTTTGATGCTCAAAATGTCTGTTAGCTACCGTTAAAATGCATTGATGTAGAACAATTGGAAAAATCAACTATTGAAAATAGGTTTTTTTTTGTTTCATTATGAAACTTAACGACTTTTACGTGTTTTCATGAAGAATCTTCAAAGGAAAAACATGTTTAAAGGAAATGCTCAGTCAATTTCAACAATTCAATATAGACGAATATGTTGCATGTAAGACTTTTTCATTTTCAACACGGTTCAATGCTTTCTGTCATAGTTGGGTGTAGATGTGGGATAGAGATAGGAGCGGAAGTAAGAAAGAGACTTCATCACCACCCATATTCAAACTCCACACTCACATTCTGATTCATGAAGTTAATAAATCCGATCGATTGAGCTCTTTTCTTTAGTTTATTTATTTACGGTATTGCTTCCTTGATTTTTATTGATGCGTAATATTTTTATATGACTTTTTTCATTCTTTCGATCGATTTTCAGATATTATGCAATATGAATTTAATGTAAGGAAGAAAAAGAAAAGCACTGTTTATTTTTAGTCCTGATTGTTTCAATATTAGAATGAATCACTTTCATGTGACATTTGCTTGTGCAAGAACAAATAATATGACAAAAAATTTCATTAGAGACCACAGCAAATATGTGAATAATAAGGACTAACATAGCTGTTTTCTTTTAAGAAAAAGATTATTATGACATGCTCAAAAACAGAAAATTCATCGTGCACTCATAAATTTTATCGTTTAGCACAAGATTGTCATTGTGAATATGGAGATGGAGGTGAAGATTTTCTTCAATATCCTATTTGGATTAATAAATCATTGAATTTAAATAAATGTCGCGAAAGACTTGTTCAAGCATTACACAAATTGAATGAACAAAGACAAGATCATCAAAATGAACCATCACCAGTTGAAGATATTATTGATCCAGATCTATTAATTTGTTGTCCACAAAAATTTGATCGTGATGCATGGATTGAACAGCGTAAAAAACAATGCCAAGATTCATATGATGCATGGAATTTCAATGGACAAACATTAGAAGAAAAAATAGTCAATGAAGTAGATAAAGAAATTACTGAACATGTTAAACTTCGTAGTACATATCAATGGATGCCTACTGTCTTTGTCATTGATCAAAATGGTCATGTCACAATTACAACAGATATTCCACAATTAATAAGGACACCTGAAAACGAACAACTATATATAGACATAGCACAAGTATTTGAAACAATGTTACCAGCATTTCAAGAGACAGAAATAGTTGGACAATCAGCTCAACCAGGAAATACTCTTCAAGTTATTGTGAAAGCTCAAAGTTACAATTTAAAAGCAGGTCACTGAAAAACTATTGGTTTCTTCTAATTTAATAAACAAAGTATTTTTCAAATTCTAGGTATGAAATATGCCGGTCGATGGCATACAGAAGGTAGTACAGAAAATATTATCGCAGCTGGTATCTATTATGTTCATGTCGATGATGAATTGAAAGGCGGAGCACTAAAATTTCGTCCTAAACATGCCCCACAACCATGGTACGATATTTCTACTGATAAAGAAGTATCAGTCAGTACTGATGCGGCGATTGTCTTTTCAAATACAATTCCTCATCGATTTCGTCAAATTCGCAATTTAACAGAGAAAAATGGTCTTCATCGTACATTTCTAAATTTTTTTATTGTTGATCCTTATAAACCTATTGATCTTTATAATTATTCATCTCGTGTACTTGCTCCACTCGATATAATTATATCAATATTAGATGAAGCCAGTGATGGTTGCTTAATGATAGGACCCATTCTTAATAAAATTATTCAATATCTTGGTCCAAGTGCATGGAAAAAAATAGAAGATGCAAAAGAATTTCGTGCTCAAGTTCGAAAACTAATGATCAACGAAGAAAGTGGATGGGGATGGATTAATTGGGGTAATTGTGGTACCGTTGAATTTGTTCCAGCTCGTTGTTTATACGAAGATAAAGACGAATGTGAAAATTTACGTCATACTGAATCTGAATAAGACATTATCAATCATGAAACAACGAATATCGTTTTTCAAAAAAAAAAAAAAAAAGAATAAACTTGATCTTTTTTCTGCTAAAGAAACTACAACTATGAATAATAAAGATAAGAGTTTATTATAAGAGAAGATTAATCGGTACGTTCGATCTCCTAAACTGAAGTCGATGTTGCAAAATCCGTTGATTTATAACATATTTAGATCAATGGTGGTTCATATTTTCTTTTTTTCCTCACTTCATGAATTAAAAGATCATTTATTCACTATTGTGACCTTGATGCTATAAAATTTCATAGACAAAAATATCATACATTCATAAAACACTAATCAGAACTATTACAACCTTTAAAAAAAACTATTGAAAATTGTGATAAATAGTGGATAATACGTTGACGACAGTGTTAGAAACAATTTCATCGAGAAGAACTACTATAATAAGAAGCTTCAGTTTCGTCGTACAGAAATTACGAAAAAAGTTACTCTCAATTAGTAAAATGGTATTCAATGCTTAGTAAAGGTTTGTTTTTTTTTCTTTAAGGTACCTGGATACAAAATACATGCAATGAATGATACAAACGGTAAAAGCTTTTTATTTCAAAAGTAATCAGCTAGAATTAGAATTTTATACTCTTTTTTACTATGTATTAAGCATTTTTTTTTCTGGTTTAAAATTAGTTCATGGACAACAAATCTTTGATGACGACCACAACCGATACTTGTACAAAACACTAGTTTAAAACCTATTGGTATATATATTTATATACAGTACTGGACAAAAATATAAGAACACTTTATTTTTGATTTTTTTCTACGATGCTAAATAGTTAGCTCAAATCCAAATAGTGATTCTGAAAGCCAATGAAGTTTCCTATTTAATGCACTCTACAGCAGAGTTTCATGAGTGAGTCACAGTCGAAAGATTTCCAGAAAACTAAAAACCGTGTTT